AATGGACTTGCATGGTTTGGTAAAGAGGTCAAATGCCTAAGACTAACAGTGTTCTGAATCCGTGCCTTGGATTAAGGAGAATTCTTGTGGTATATCCCCTTGGAAGGAAAGCCCGTACTTAAACTCTCAAATCACGAGTGTAATTAAAGTCTGAATGTTGCCTAACCTTTTCTTCCTGCCTCTCTCTTAATAGGGTGCTGTACTGACTCCCTCCATGGACCACACCATGTCACTACAGCCTGCATCAATGATAAGCCCTCTGACACAGCAGATGAGTCATCTTTCATTAGGCAGTACTGGAACAGTATGTAGCAATTTAATACAAAATAGAACTTATACAAGTGGAAAATATTGCATGTAGATCACAGTGTGTATGTACAGTCAGTGGGTAAAAAAGTCTGTATTTTTCCATCCAATCAAGTTTTAAGAACTGTCTCCATTTATGAAACAAATGACTGTATTCAGTAGTTTGTATTCAGTCTATTAACTGATTAGAAATGTAAAATTAAGAGTAAATAAAACAGATCAAAGGAAATGAAATGAACCCAGGAAGTAACTCTAGAGTTGGACTGAAAACGAAACAATAGCTGTTTTTACTCTTCAGATCATCAGAGTTGCTGAAAGCTATGCATAGTGTGGTGGAACAGAAACTAGACCAGAAGGAGATGCAGGCTAGCTTCTAAATTGAAAGACCCTTCCTTTCTGAGTAGATAGTATTTTGTGTTTGAATGCTAAACTTGAGTTCTTTGATAACACTCTAGTGAAACGTATCCCACCTTTCTGAAAAGGCTATTGATTTCGGAGAGAGAATGCTTACTCATGTGTTTATTGCTTTAGGGAAACACTCGATATCTATTAAAAATATTATAATGGGTTCTGATGTATTTTGAATACACTTAAATTTACATTGAGCTTTAACTCAACTTAATGAACTGTCTTTTTAGTACATGCCAGCCACAACAGCTATGCAAGGAGCCTACATACCCCAGTATACACATGTTCAGACAGCAGCGGTTCCTGTTGAGGTCAGTATGTTTTATAAAAGACGGAAGTAAGAGTCATGAATATGATGTTAGGTTTTTTTTTGCTAGGAAAGGTATCAATAAAAACCTAACACCATACCTGACCTGTGAATGCAACGTGTATTAAAGCCATAACAGTGTTGTCCTTCTCAGCCAAAATAACTGATTTTTGTACCAAAGAATGACATGCATTTGTAGCAGCTATGTCTTCCATGTGAGGGTAGCTCAGTCCAGCTTTGCTTTTGTGAAAAGTAACTTCCAGTAGGAACAATGCTAACATGAATTGTAGTTTTAGTCTTTCATTTAGTTTTCCTGTGGACAAACTTTTCCAGTAGCAGACCATGATTATAACTCTTGGGAAAGAATCCTGATTTTAAGCTGGGATCTCAGGGTACCGTGCCTTTTTCCGGATAGACCCCTCTAGAAGTCCAACTAGAGAGCCAAACTAAATGCTAGACAGTAGTTTGTCTACTATTTGTACTTACTGACCAGTAAAAAGGTGTAAGGTACTCCTTTAACAGAGGAGTTAGATAAGGCAAGCTGCAGCCCTTTTATTCAAAACAAATGCTAGACTGTCTCTGCCATAGGCCATAAATAATGTTATTCATTTCAAGGTCTGTTTGTACAAAAACACTAGAACTTGCTAGGTTCATGTTATGCATCTCCCCATGTGGGTCGGGAAAAAAACTTGCAGTAGTTGACTGATTGTACTGTCCATCAGAGCACTATCAGCTGAATTAATTTCCTGGTTTCTGGGGGTTCATGCGCAAAGCCTCAACTATAATTCATTGTGTTGCATACTGCCAATCACACCACAATACACAGAGACAGTGTTTATACATATGGTAAATAGATCTCTCATTCTCCTCACTGCTCGTCAGAACAAGAGGCCGGTTTGCAATTGCAGATAGAAAATACACGAGTATTTATTTGCTCCCTTTATGTTTTTATTTCTATAATATCAAAGCTTTTAATTATCATCAAAGCAGCTGAAGAAATAGAAAGTAGGTTTGATCATTTTGTTTCTCTATTTGCTTAAATATAAATCAATGCCAAGTTGACAACTCAAATCCGGAATACGTCACCTAACAAATTTTAGAAAGGGTTTAGAATTGAAAACCATTAATCACATGGAAATACAGATTGCAGATAATGCTCCCTGATTTTATGTCTCAAGTCTTTTTTTCCTCTTCATTGCAGGAAGCCAGTGGTCAACAGCAGGTTACAGTGGAGACATCCAGTGACCATTCTCCATATACGTATCAGCAAAATAAGTAACTGTGAGGTAGGGGCTGGTTCTGTTATGCGAAAGATGTGAATTTAAAGATATTTTAGGTCATAATTTACGGTACTCTGTATTGAAATATGTTTTTTATATCACATAAATAACATCGGTACTGTTTGGGGCCAGATACAGAAGTTAGTTAATTTGAATATGGCCAGAGTCTGAAGTCAGGAAAAAGAATCAAATGTTCCAGAAGTGAGTTAATTTTCTATAGCATAACTGAATTATTATCTATTTTAATTTGTTGTATGCAAGAATAACAGTGAATTAGTACAAAAAAGCTATAATCGCAATGCTGAAGGGAACTATATTTGTTTATATTAATATCCTCTAGGTTCTGTGGAATATGTAAGGTTTGGAAGCACTCTGCCATTGATATTCAAGCTTAGGAAGGGAGGTGATCCGGTAGAAATCCTTGCTGACCTTTTCTCCTGAAGACTGCCTTGCTCATTCTTTATTCTAGGAAGTAGTAGTTTGTTCCAGAATTTTGTCAATTATTTTTTAATCCTAGTCCCACATTGGATCTGATTCCACGCTTATTTGCTTTCCTACTGCAAATTTCCTGGTTTCTGTTTGCATGGCCTTTCATCCCTAGGCATTCATTAGTTTTACCACAACTCTATCCATGCACTATTTTGCTTTGTGTAGACTGCCAACCTGAAAATACTGTTTGCGCTAACCATTTCATTCTCCATCCTCCATTTTTTAAAATTCTGGAATTTTGTTCTTCTCTAACTTGATCTTGGTAACCCAGGCAACTTGACTACGTACATTTTTATCAAATTTTGTAAGACCTCACACTGAAAAATTCAGATGCAATACTGTGCTTTCCCTGCTGCACAGAGGCCTTCCTAGAAGTGTTTTCCTACAGTTCTCACGGCACACATTTATTAGGTACTCAAAAATCATAAGCAGTTATGAGCTAGGAATTTCTATTTGTATGATTTTTCTCCCTAAAATGCATAGATCTAACAATACACGCATTTTGCCATTACCTTTGGTTTTGCAGGTCAAGCGTGTTATTTGACAACACTGCTCTTGGGATCCCCAGTATTGGGATAAGAACTTATTATATGTTCAAGAACGTAAAGATAGAAACAAATCAATTGGGAAACTTCGCACTTTCAACCGATGGCACAGTCTGTCTACATAGCACGACATATGACCTGTGTTTATTATATTAGTCTGGCCAAACACTGGCACCTACAGAAAGCCCGCATCCCTCCTTTTTCTTGCAGAACTGGGAGAAAGCGAAGGCACAGACTATTCTCCATATCCGTGTCCTAGTGTTAAAATTGTGATTTCTACGTGTTCCCTAAGGCAAGGCTGTGGGCTGGTGTCAACCACCTTTCAAGGAATCATTTGTTTTGCCTTAAGTCTTCTCTGTGGGCATGTAAGACTTGCTTACAAGTAGTGATCTGTGGTAGACGGGGAAGCGGAATCCTGCACGTCTTCTCCACGTCCTGCCTCTACCAGCGAGTCAGTATCTTTCCCATAGACTGGGGCCAGGCAGAAGGAGCAGCATTTGGTCTTCTGAGAGGATAAAATGTGTTGCCATCTGAGACACATTTTATAAATCTGCTCTCTGTAGCACACCGTGCTCCGTGAGCACCTCTGTGCACTCGTTGTAAGCCAATACTCTGTGTATTTTATCCTTTGGAGAAGCACTGTTACCTGTATTTATATGCAGTAGGAGCCAGTGAGTTCTATATAAGCAGTGGCTATGGCAGTGGGAGAGGGCACGTGGGGAAGGTTAATATTACTCAACTGATTTCAGTCTCAGAGTATGGCATTCGGTATTTTGGTCCCTAGAACATGTTGGTACTTGACATTTTTAAGACAGGTGAAGGGCAGGAAATTGGCAAGCAGTTATTCCTTGCCCTAAATACAGGGCGTGCTGTGGTCTCCTAATTATTGTGGCTTTGTTACTATTGTCAGACTGAAACTTCTAAATGCACATGCAGCACTTTGGAGAATGTCCTATTAAAAGTCAGTGTCCCTATTGCCATAAATAAGTGATAAATGAAAGCTACCACATTCACGCACGTTGATGCAGTCAATCAGAAAAACATAATTGTGTCCTTCCTTTAGCAGATCCATTTAATAACCTTATTAATAACCTTATTGCTTCTTTCCAAAATGTTACTGATATGTGAAAATAGTCAAAGGGATTTAAAAAACAAAAAAAAAGGCAGTGTTATAATTGTATGTGCCATAGCACATGCCTAGAAATGCACAAACTTTAAAATAACAGACTGTCTCAGAAATTCAAAAATCCACTTTTTTCATTAGTATTTTTTTTAAGGTCAAACAGCAGTATAAGCCCCATCTATTTGCTTCTGCTTTGCCACATAGTAGACTGAAAAGTCTTCCTTCAAATTTAATGAGCCTTGGATTACTGTTAAATAGTAACGATCACAAGGGCGCATGGGCTCTCTTTGCGTTGGCTGTCATAACTTGCACATAGCCTCCCTAGGACTGCACAAAAGAAAATTGTGTACCTTTTCCAGAGATTAAAAGCCTTGGAGATGCAACAGGACAAAGCTCACACACTCAGCTACTTTTGGTCAGTCAAAAGAGAACAGCAATTACAAAACAACAAAGAAGGAAATGGCTAGGAATGCAGTCTCGCAGTTCCTGAGTGGGAATTCTGCATGCTGAACATGTATTAGAGATAAAGGGGAAAAATACAATAGAAGACTCTATTCTGGCAGAGAGCCTTATCCTGGGAAGTGCCAACCACCTGTAGTGCCGCCTGTGTTTACTTCCCAAATGTGTACTTAGATTCGCTTACTCTTCTCACAGCTGTCTAAAATAGGAAATGATTTAGTTTATAGACAGCTACATTACAAGAACAAATGTGATTGTAACTCTACTCTAGCTCTGACCTTTCTATGTTACAGATGTCCAGTGTTGACCTGGCCTGGAGAAGGGTGCAAAGGCTGAAACAATCATGGATTTTACTGATCAATTGTGCTTTAGGAATTATTGACAGTTTTGCACAGGTTCTTGAAAATGTTATTTATAATGAAATCAACTAAAACTATTTTTGCTATAAGTTCTATAAGGTGCATAAAAAACCTTAAATTCATCTAGTAGCTGTTCCCATGAACAGGTTTATTTTAGTAAAAAAAAAAAATTTTTATCAAGTGTTATGACGCAAAAAAAAAAAAAATTCAAATTTCTGGTTATGCACAGATGACCACGAAGACTTATTCACGTGCATGACAGAATTTGTGTTTTGGTTTATTTTTATTTTGTTTCTTTTGTTTTTTTTTTTAATTGTATGAAATGGATTTTCTGAAGTTTAAAATAGTAAAACATCTAAGATGATGTTCTGTGCTTGCAGTGTGTGAGTGTTGCTTTAGTGCAGTGTTGCAGTTATAGTGTCTGGTCTTTTAGCTTTCTGTTTTTCTTTTAATGTAGTGTGAAGTGTCTTATCCTTTTCTATGAATTCCAATTTGCCTTAAATCTTTCAATGCTGTAGCTGTTTCAGTAAGTAGTCCAAACTAATGGTGTAGAATGCTTTGACCAAATGAGCTGGTCTATTATGCCTTGTAAAACAGCAGCATAGGGCTTTTAAAGGTAGTCAATAAAAATTGCTGAAAATTTGGCTTTTTTAATGTGTAGTAAGTGTTTTTAATGATTTTTCACATAATATGTAAGGTAGTGAAATGCAAGAGGGGAAAAATGTTTTGTGTGAAACACATTTTCTGACTGGGGAAATTTTAATAGGATAAATTGTTTGTAAGGCCATATGCCAATAGGTCCCTCTGGTAGTTTGAATGATTTAGGAACTCTGCTGTATGATGCAATGTAAAATCTTTTTTTGCCTTTTTTCAGAAACTAACTTGATGTTCTAGTTTTAGCCTAGGTAGAATAGGGAGTTTGGGGTGGGGATATCACCGAATGTTTTTGTCCTTCCTTTATACTAATGATAGTGCTTTAGAATGAGGATTGTGCTGAGACTTAGCAAACAGAAAAGTTGCTCTTACAGCAAAATGGCAAAAGCTAAAGGACTCGTTTTCAAACATAAGCTGAGATGTAAGTAGAAGCATGGTTGATTGGGTACTAGCTCTCTATAGTAGGTAAATAAAAATAAAAAGACTTGGCACTTTTAAAAGGTAACTTTACCAAAGAACAAAGAGCCAGTAACCAATAATTCTGATTTGTCTCAGCATTACGTCTTCTGTACTCTTTATTTTTGCCGGACCAGTTTGCGGTTAGGAGAATGTGCCTTTTTTGTACATTTGCATTTAGGTTTTATAATTTTAATTGATGTATGGACACAAAAGCATGAAGGAAGACTTGGATCCAAGCAGTGCCACACTTTACATCATCACTACAAGTGTTAAGTGTAAAGAAAACCAATTTTGAAACTATGAAATTCCTGATTCATAAATACACAGTTATTTGTACTTCACGTATTAGATAATTCACTGCTACTAAAGCTCTTTATTACAATTGCATATGTTTTAAATCAAATGATAAATTAAGTTGTCTTCCAAAACTGTGTACTTCTCTGGTCAGCTGTATATGATCAGTTATCTACCTCAAAGTTTATTTCCTTTTGTATTGGGACAGGTTGCTGGCCCTCCCTGTTTCCACAGACCAAATCATCCTAGCTCGGGAGCTAGGGCTAAGCAGTTGTTTCTTTCAAGTATTTTTTAGTTTTTAAATTTTGTGTGAGTATTGGAGTATAGATGTCGGTGACATTTCATAGTTTCAAAAGTAAATTGCTGCTCTGAGAAGTGTAGATTCTAGTGAAATACATAGTCATAAGAGATGTGTTTTTGTTTTTTCTTTTTTTAAAAAAGTTGTGGTATTATTGGTTCTATGCTCCCTGGAATATTACTGCTTTGTAACAGTCCAGACTTCCTTGCAGCACCTTTCCTGTATCTGGTGAATTTCCAAGCCTAGATCTCTCACTACTTGATATTTCTGCGTTAGTTAAAACTGCAGTATGATAGCTGTGTTAGAGGGAGGGAAGAGCTGCTGCCAGAAATGTCTGAACTAAGTGCCATACTCATTGTCTGGGTAAGATTTGGGAAATTTAACCTCTGTACATAAAGAAATAATCAGTTACTTAAACATCACATAGTAGACAGCCATTAAATTATAAAAAAATTAATTTATGAAGAAAGACCTTTTGTACAGATTGAAAAAAAAAAAGATTTTCATAGAGATATCTATATGATCAAGAGAGTTAATTTTTTATTTTTGTTTTACTAGTGCCACAAACTTGCCAGTGGTAACTTATTTGTCCGGTTCAAGATAACTCTGTAGTTTTGTTTCCTAGGACTTGTTGTTAAACGCCAAAAGACATTTTTGAACTGTAAATTTGATTAGATTGTTAGCTTTTTTCTGTTTTATTTCTTTGAAAACTTTTGAATAAAAAAGATCCAAAAAAAGGAAATTGCATTGTCTTTTTTCTTCAGTTGGTCCTTCACTGGGGGAAGCCCCACGCAGATTATGATAAAACTTTCATGTTTATTTTGAAGTGCTCAGAGCTACTTTCTGCTTTCCAGGATGGGTTTTTCCCCCTTTCTATCTTTCCTTAAAATCAAGTTTTAACTCTTTCAAACCACATTACCTCAGACAAAGCAGGAAAGGACTTGCAAAAAAATATACGCTCACATACATCCGATTTGAATGCAAGAACGCTAGTTTTCCCTACCTCAGCCCACGCTGAGAGTTGTATATAACCAGCCCTCAGTGGTTACATTGTTATATAAATGCAGGGCTAGTTTTCTAGAAATACGGGTGGAGATGCAGGATCATTCTGGCTGTTTCTAGCACAGAAAAGTTGCGTTAAAGTGCTTTGGTCTTCCTGACTGTAGTGGAGCGAAAGCAGCACCTCGTGGAGGTCGGTTATCCCCAGCGGTCACCTCCCGGCTGCAGTCTGTCAGCACCTTGATGCTCTAAGGATAATCTGCTGTGATTTCATTATCCTTTTGGCAAGATCACCTCTGCTGGTGCTGTGTATCAGGTAGAGGACTGCTCTGCCGAGAGGAAAACAAGCAGGGTAAAATATCAGCTCCGGTGTCCCCCCACCTAAATGCTTCAGCAGTCACACAACTCGGCAACGCAGGCTCTGTTGGCTCATCTGGCGGGAGATGGGCCCTGACTTGGTCTTGAGCACCCATAGGTGCCCCGAGTGGCAGGGAACAGGGAGTCAGTGACCCAGGAGGCTCTTTGGCCTTGCCTGGGTGCTGAGCAGGCCAACGGGGGCTTCCTCACCGCAGACTGGGCTCCCCTGGAGAAGAGGCTCTCCCTTGGTCCTTGGAGTTGGTCCTTCCCAGACAGGAATCTCAGACATGCTCCAAGTACTCTGCTGACCCGCCGCGAGAGGCCAGGCAGCCTGTCGGATGGGCCAGCTGGGATGCTGCTGTAGGCAGCGCAAAGCCAAAGCTTTGCGTTTCGCGGTGCTGACGCAAAATCCCATGAACAAAGGTTTTTACCGTGGAGGTAGCGAGAGGGACTCATGGGGAGGTGAGGAAACTGTTGGTTTACATTTGCTTATGCAGTAAAGACATTCTTAACAGTGGTTCTTATATTAATGAAGAGAAAAGATTATGCTGAGTGCTACTAAACACATTTGGACTCCTACAGGTGAAAAAGGCTATTTTACAGCTCTGCGGTAATTTAAATACTGGCTCAGTATGCTGCCTGTATAAAATGCAACAGATGAGAAGATGAATACAGAAAATTTTTGAAGGGCTTTGTTACGTTATTGCTGTCTACCATCATACTGAAATAATCTCAAATTAATAAGCAATCTTTTTGAATTAAGTATGAATACTACCTTACAAAATCTACATATAATAAAATCACAGCATAATGCAGGTTGGAAGGCCTTTTTGCTATCTGTTTACTTTTCTAATTAGCACTTTGATAAACTTCGCTGTCTTACCATAATGCCAAATATATTTGATAAGAGTGAATACTTTCAGATTAGTACCTTTTGCCAGGTATAATAAGGTTGTGTGTATCATTTTTCAGCCAATCTGCAATAATGCACTGTCTTTCTGTAATACACTTTATTATATATAATAAAAACTCATTTATTACCAACTGGCTTGTTCAAGCATTGTTTCCACCCTGTTGCATGCAATTTGTTTTGTTTTGGAGCCTGCTTGTAAAGATGCTATTAAGAAAATGTTTTACTTGTTAACAAATACTGATAAATATCATATTCCTGTAAGACCATTTCACACTAGTGTAAATATTTTGTGCAAGATTATGCACAGGCCCTATTGTTCCTTGGTTGTCAGTGATTATAAAATATTCTATCTTTTGGCTCCCTCTAATTTCTAAATTGACTAAACCAGGCAGGTACAGACAATTGCAAGCAAGTCATTAACTGCAGCTTAACAAAGTACTGTTGATCAGCTGAGCTGCAGCTGATAAGTGTTTGCATGTATCTGTCTAGAATAATTGTGAAGTAAGTCAAAGTAGTCTAAAGCACTTTCCGGGTACTCTTTGTCAGCTTTTCTCAATAAAAAGGGCTATTTTGCTCTCTCCTCCTAGCTTTGAGTTCTTTCGTGTTAAGGCACATCCACCATAAGAGACAAACTTGATGATAGACCAAAACTGTGCCACCTCGCTTTCTGCGGAAACAGCTAACGTCACCTGAGAAATCCATCTTATGTGCCAGAATATGTATGCAAGTTCTGTACTCTTACTCCTCACATGCACACTTCACTGCACTTGTTCCTTTTGCTTTGATCAACCGTTCCAAAAGTATTTGCAAACTTTCACATGCTTTGGAATAAGATATTCAATCCTATCCTGTCCAGCAACGTTTTATTGCGAAAGCCAGCATGTTATTTGATGGCACTTAAGATATGTGTGCCATTACCTTCCAGACACTTGCAACGCTGACATCGTCTTTCAACTGTGAAAGATCATCTGTGTCATTTCCTAGCCAAAAAATTCTGGCATTGATTAACCCAAACAAAGCTGAGGTTTTTGGCTTTCGCACTTGGTCCATTAATTCTATCCAGAATAGAGGTTAGAATATACAAAACCTATTCTGTTTGGCAAGTTCTTCTCCAGCTACCAAGAAAAGCCAAACTGATGTCAGAACAGCAAAGATTTACAATGCAGAGTGACCAGAGAGAGTTTGTAATAGCCTGTATGTGGAATGAGTAAGTCTTTCCTTTTCAGGACAGCCCTAACCACATCTACCGTCTGAGAAACCTGTGCAGCCCGTTTCTGCAATACAGAAGAAATCACATCACAGGAAAATACTACTGGAATTTTGTTTTTCCCCTGCCACACAGGAAAGGACAAACTTGACAGCAGGCAGGCTTTAACTCTATGTTATCTGTCTTGCCTTTTTTCAGCAGTATTCCTTCACCCAGTTCCTACAGCAGCGTTGTTCTGAATTCTGCTGTATTTCATCAGTCTGCCTTCAGCCAATTAGTTTAATTTCTTTCAACAACTCCACTGGGATGGAAAGAGATTTTTGAGAACTTGAAAAATGAAGGTATGTGGCACCCTAAAGAGTTCCCACATGCACACTACAGGTGTTCAGATCAGCTTGCTCAGGCAGCTCAGAAGGTAGCTTTATTGTCTTAGAGAGTATTATGCTTGTGTTACCAAGAGAAAAAAATTTTGGAAAATTACTTCCGCAAGTACAACTCTACTGGTCTTAAGGAAGTCACTTGCAGTAGGAATTTTCTCCAGTATTTTCAGCACCTGAAACTGTCACACTTAGAGTTGATATTTTTAAGCAATACTTGGAAAGCACTTAAAGGTAATGGAATGGAAAAATGGTTTAAAAGAAGGTCAATAGAAAATGTACCACTAAGCAGGATGTTTTGATAAATATTTTTAACTCTTTGTGAGCAGCAGTAGCAAATGGCTTTTTCCTTTGTGTGCTTCAATCTGTCCTGAATGGAAAATATTTTCCCACTGATGGGAAAATACTTTACTAACTTTTATTGGGCTTCTAGCAAATGGAGGTAATTTCAAAATGTATTTACTGGTATTTGTTACAGCCCCTCTTATAATTTTATCAGTTTGTTCAGGCATCTTTAGCCAGGCTCAAAGATAATCAGTAAGTGGGATATACACAACTAAGAACATAAAGCAGTTATTTATTTGCTAATGCACACAAAAGAAATGTAGGATTTCATGAGCTATTAGGTTAAGCATCAGTGCGCTCACCATCCCAGCCAGGTACCCGAAGCGTCTTTGCTGGCCAGGCAGGCGTCAGGCAGGAGGGAAGGGTCAGTCCTGCAGCTCCCTGGAACGGACCCTCAGCGCTGCCGAGTTTCCCTCTTCCGGCAGGTGCCAGCAACGCCGGTGGCACTGACAACTTGCCTCAGCCTGCTAACCCGGCAATTCCCGACTAGCCTCACTGTTTACTTCCTTATGGTTTTATACCTTTCCCTGTTGCTGCTCTCTCCCTCTTAAATCCTTGAGCTTCTAGCAATCTCATCTCAACAATTCTACCTCCGTCTGTAATTTTACCTTTCTTATCTCCCTACAAACTTTCTCACAGCTCTTTCTCTGCAGTCTGCGTCAAGGCTACACAGCTGGGCCATATCAGACCTGGGCCTTGGATCCTTGGTACACAGGCTGCTAAACCCCTAGGAGAGGGAGGGAGCGAGGGAGGCTCGCAGCAGGGGCTACACAGAGGGAGGGTTATGTACTCCAGGTCTTGCTTGTGTAAATAAAACATTGTTCAAGTGCAATTGGAGGACTGGGTAGTCAAAGGGCTCCAAATGTTGCTGTTCTTTGCCAGGAGAGAATGAAAATCGGTTTTTAAACAGCTTTAGGAGGGGCCAAGCTAGCTTGGAAGAAAAAACTGCTCAAGAAGTCACCAGCTGTGTGTGTCTTAAGTTCATGACCTCCTTCAACCATGCTTTGCTCACTTTCCATAGTTCAATGAGTTCCAGCTGTCGGTAGGAAGATGGTTCACATGTGAGTAGGAGGGAGTCAGCTCAGGAGCAAGTTATGGGATTTGTGTGGTAGAAAAAGCATTGCTACTTGTACAAAGTCACTCTTGCATGAGCTCTGGAACCACAGAGATTACTGAAAGAAAAGAGCAGTGGGGAAGTAAGTTTGCATTCAAGAAACGCAAACTATATCTCAAAAACCAAGCCCATGTTGCTCCTTTGTTTCTGAAGTTGCTCCTTAGAAAACTACGTTTGTATTTGATCTAGCTCTATCTTCGCTGTAATGTCTCTGGAAATAGCAAAACTTCACCTTGAATTTTAAGGCAACTTTTTTTTTTTTTTTGTAGTGAAGTGTAGAAGAAAATCCAGGTTTCAGTTATAAAAAATGAATTAAGCAGTTCCAGGAATTCCTATCCTGAAAATATTTTGCAGATGAAACTAACCAGTCATCTCTGGGAAAACAATTCAGGACAAAACATACCATTGCGTGTATTACAG